CCATTCGATTTTTAGACTGATCATTTCTTTGTGAGTGGGCAAACATTCAAAATCAGCAGAGGATCAAATACTTATTTCCTTCACTGTATGTCCTCATTTCCAGACAGTCACTTTTCTCCTCCCTGTTTACTGTGCTGACAACACTGCACTGAAAATCGGACTTTTTTGTTTACAGCAGTTTTAACTAGTTTAGAACCCTGGGTGTGACACACATACCCAAAAAACATCCCCAAAGTACACAGGGTCTGTGTAGTATGTCCAGTCCTTCTGTCCTGCTGCCATGTCCCCAGGAGATGCTGTCAGGAGTTGATGTACATACAACAGTTCTAGAAGCTGCTGCTATAAAAATAAAAAAAAAAGGCCGCCTGACACCATTGGCTTGATTTACTAAAGGAAAAGACTGATTACATTGCAAGGGAAGTTGCACTTTGCACAGGAATTTTCCCAAGAGCTTAGTGAATGAGTTGAAGCTCTGCTGACTTCCATCATCCAATCATGTGCAAGCAAAATGTGTTTTTTACTTGCCTAACATGTGATTGGGTATTCTTTGCAAACTGGAATCTCAAAAACAAAGATTCCCATCTCACTTACCAGCTAGCATGCAACAAAACCAACTTGACCCTAATTCAAGTTAAAAAACAAGGGATTTAAGCTGCAGTGGCTAAGTCAAGTCACCCCAATGTACTGAGGTCCTAACTCTATAATTGTTAGAGTCCCAAGTTGGAAATCACAAACGTGTGCGACTGCACCCTTTGTTTTTAACATGAATTGTTGGACAGGGTCAATCTGGTTTTGTAGCAGGCTGGCAAGTGAGCTGGGAATTTTTGTTTTTTATGTGCGTTGCTCTTCCATGTGCTCCTTGCTACAAAGGCTAATAAGGTTGGGGTGATTGCCTTGTGTTTGTATAGAAAGTGAAATTTCACCACATTTACAAAGCTCTGGGTCAAATTTCCTTGCAATGTAAACAGACTATTTTCCTTTGGTAAATTAACCCAGGTATTTATCAATACTGCTTGGGCATGAAATAGAGAGATACAAAGTATCACCTACTTTTGTAGAAATTTTGTTTCATTCATCTGCAGAACACAGGGATGAGCCAAGAGACTTTCTACATAAAGTTGGCTTCTGCTCTACAACTACAGCTGGCCCAGGGTGCTCGGGTTTTCTACATCCATTTCTACATTGGACTTTTAGTATTTGGACTTTTAGTATATGGACTTTCATGGACTAACGATTACATAATCCATGCGCCTTTATTTCCAATTGCATTAGATCAAAGGGATGAGCTTCAATCTGCTGATGCGTTCAGTTAAAGCAATGATAACAAGTGAAAAAAAAGTTTTTTGTTAAATAAAAAGTGTCTCCATTTAAATAGAACTTTAGGCAACACTGTTATTTCATTTTGGATAGAACAGTGTTTCTCAACCATTTTTCAGTCAAGGCAGCCTTTAATATTATGCACAATCTTGAGGCACCCCATTCTAAAATGTAAAAAACAACTACGGCAACATCCACACACATAGGACACCCAATGTTAGAGGCGATTTATTCTTCCAAAGCGAATAAAGCTTTGTACACTGGTAATGACTAGTATTCCTATGTTTCCCTTCTCCCTCACTCTGCTAATGTGACCCCAGTGTGTTGGAGTGTGGCAAACAAGGCTGCTGTGCAGGCACCCTACATCTTCCTTATCAAAGAGTGAAAACAGGTGGCGCACACACCTAGTGCATTATCCAAGGTTTATTGTAGGAGTGAAATAATAAAAACATACTCACAGACGAAGCATGTATCTAAAAAGCATAGAAAAAGGAGGCATCAACAGCGAGGCTCTTACTTTCCATTCATCATACATCAGCATCAGAGGTTGGTCATCAGCTCTGAGGAAAGGGATTCGTCCCCGAAACGCGTCAGCCATTTGACCGCACTAACAGTGAGAACACCTTGCCTGCCGTTGTGGCCATTGTCATTTTTCTATGCTTTTTAGATACATGCTTTGTATGTGAGTATGTTTTTATTATTTCACTCCTACAATAAACCTTGGTTAATGCACTAGGTGTGTGCGCCACCTGTTTTCCTCTCTATCCAGTGGCTGATTTCCCCGTCTGAGGAGGGCTGCACCCCTGAAGCATTTCCTTCGGTTGTCGCTGTCCTGGTACCCTTGGCTTCCCTTTTGGCTGTGCATATCCTGAGGCGCTGGAGAGTACATAAGATATCTTCCTTATCAAACAATGATGTAATTGGTTGTTATGACACCGTCAGCTGGAAGGTTGTAATGGTGCACAATGAAAACCTTTTATCTAAAATGGCGTTTATATGATTTTTTGGCAATTTTTAGGCATTTTGCCAAGGCACCCTTGAAGAACCCTGAAGGTATCCTGGTTGAAAAAAAACTGGGAAAGAGCAAGGGAGGGTTATAACCCTGTCGGATATTTTTGCCATTTGTGTCCCATTGCGGAGATTTACCTTCACTTCCTGTCCCATAGCCAAAGCAGGAAGTGAGAGGAAATCCCTGCAAATTACGGGAATTCCCTAATTTGGATCTAGTGACCCCATTTTTCCCTCTATTACTTAATTGGGGACAACCCAAAATTTGGGATTTTCTTTTACTTTCACTTTCAATGATAATGGTAAATAGGACAAAGAGAGGGTGAATCTCTCTAATGGGGGTACAGACAGCAATCCTAATCCCTCTCCACTCTATCCAAAACTGAAAAACATCAGCACAAGAGTTACAGTTAGTATATGTCCCTTGTGCCGATTCTTCTTTCAAGAGAAATCTTCACCCATCCCCCCCCCTCACCTCCACCACTGTAATATGCGGTGGGGGTTAATATAACTAAGGGGATTTCAGGAGCTCACATGAGAGCTTGACTATGACTGCCTTTTTCTGTCAGATCCTCCATTCATAGAAGCTGCACTATGACTTTTATAAATGACACAGAATCTATGAAGGGGAAATGATAAGATGACCGATAGCTCTGCCCCCCTCCATTCATAGATCCTATGTCATTCAAAGAAGATATACGATGAGAGCTACGACAGCCCTTACCCAGCTGTATTATCCTCTGCCAAACCAGAACATTACGGCAGTGTGGGTGGGGCATGTTGGGTGGATACGACAAAGATTCTTGTAAAAGAAAAAGAATCATCACAAGGGATACAGCATACTAAGTTATGCCCTTTATGATGATATTTTTGTTTTTCATTTTAGCTACACTTAAGTTTAAAACTCTTATTAACCCTTACCCAATCAGTGCTAATTAGCTCCTTCTTCCCCTTTGCCCTTCAACTATTTTCCCGCTATTATTTTTTTTTTTTATTTCTACTTTATTAACCATTAATATGTCAACTTTTTTCCATTTTTGTTTTGTTTGTTATTTTCTTTAATATTGCATTTAAAAAGTGCAACATTTGTAAAAGTATTTCATTTGTAAAATAAAACATGGTGCACATAACACTTTGCAATGGTTTGTACCATAATCATAATTTTTGTGTAAATTTAAAAAGGACAAATTATAGCTCAAAGTTTTGCATATTATTTTTAATAGTAGTATTGCACAGAACAGCCCCGAACTTCCTCTTCTGGGGTCATACGCCAGCGCTCTAGGCTCTTCTACTTTTGTGTGTCAGCACACGTGTGGGGTTGCTCCCAAAAGCAGACTGTGTGTGTTCATTGACACACACAGCGTCCCGCTCCTGGCTCCTTCCTCACTGGATATGACTAACAGCAGCAGGAACTGTTGCTCTCAGCCAAGCCTGTGAGTGAGCAGAAAGGGGAGAGAGCCACTGAAGACGACCAAGCTCTGGATCAATACAGGTCTCAAGTAAAAATTTGGTAGGGGGAAGACACAGCTCTTCAAATGTTTTTCTACCTTAATGCATAGAATGCATTAAGTTAAGATAAAAAAACTTATGATTTTAGAGCCACTTAAAATGTTACTAAACCCACAACAGTAAAATCAGTCTGTATATGCAGTAAAGCATGCTTGTTATACTCACTGTGGAACCTAAGGGGTTAATCACAGGGCAGCATAGTCGCTAAATGGTTAGCACTTCCGCCTGGCAGTACTAGGGGTCATAGGTTCGAATCCCAACCACAGCACTGCATGTTCTCCCTGTGCCTGTGTGGGTTTCCTCCGGGTACTACGGTTTCCTCCCACTCTCCAAAGACATGCTGGTAGGTTAATTGGATCCTGTCTAAATTGGCCCTAGTATGTGTATGTATAAATGTAAGTTAGGGACCTTAGATCATACGCCCCTTGAGGGTTAGGGACTGATGTGACTATACAATATATATGTAAACCACTGCGTAAATTGCTGGCGCTATATAAGCACCTGAAATAAAAATAAAATAATCCTCTGTGCTGTGTAAAAACACTGTTTGAAACTGACGTCTCTGATCCTCCCCTTCTTTCAGTATCCCCCGCTTATCTCCTGATAAGACATATTGTGTGCAGTCACTCTGCACATGCTTAGTTTGGTGTGTATTGCTAGAGAGGTTTTTTTTTTTTTTTCTTAGGAGGGTACATGTGATCAGCACAGGGCCAATCAGCACTGTCCAGACAGAGGTCAGGGATTCTGCATCCTCCTAGAGCAGAATGAAAACTCCTCCTACAAGCTTTAACATGTGCTCAGCTGGACACTGATAGAAGTCACACAAGACTGTTCTAACTGATAATGAGAAAAGGTAATTAGTGGTTTATATTTCCGAAAATAATTGCACTTCTGTGCAATTCTGTGTTCTGTGTTCTGTGGGAAACCAGATATAGTAAATGCAGGGTCCTGGGTTTAGTAACACTTTAAAGCTCGTAAGTGGAAACATGTTGTTGAGTGGTACCCTGGGGACAGGATCTGTGCTGACTCCAGTATATGAGTGGAGCACTTGGAGGGTTGGGGTGGTGCACTTTCCCTTGACTCCACCACCTCTAATGTTGTTTGATGCCTTACCACAAATTTCGAAGTGTCTTGTTCACTCTTAGCATTTGAGCAAAATGTTCAGCTACCTCATCAGTGAATTGGTTCTGCATAATCCTAAAACAAAGAGGATATGTGAAATGCCAACAACAAGTGAAATTGGGAACACAAGATCTTCTACAGTAAAACACCAAAAAAAAGTACATTCCATGATCAGTGTTTGTGTTAGTCTGTACGAGCTGCTTTGCCCAGATAAATGTAAAGCTGCTCAATGATTTTGACTCAAAAAAAAGAAAAATACATAGTCCAGTTAAAGGAATTCTATAGTCACAGCATACACTTTAATTTTATAACAACAGCACTGTAATTGCAATACAAGCCAAACTTATTTTTGACAATCCAACGTAAGCTTACGTAAAACAATTTTTCTGCCTGTGTGCTGCAAGTCAGCTGGCCGTCTTTTTTTCTCAACTTCTTGGATTCCCTGTATACTTTGTAGTTTCTCCTTTGCTCATTCCTTTGGTTTACTTTACTTTCCAAGTACTGCATATCCAATAGTACACTGCTGCCTGCAAGCAGCGATTCCTCTAACTCCACCTCCTGAAACCCCTCCTCAGCAAATTTTGTAGATCATAAGGCAGGCTCTGTGAATGCTCTGACACAGCAGTGCCTACTCATAGGGCATAGTAGACATGTGTCATGGAATTTAAAGTGGTTGTGAATTTTTAAACTTGAAATATGAAGAATATCCCGCTATAGTGTGTACTCTGTGCAGAGCAGACCTGTCAGTATATCTGCTTGCTCGTATAGGATGTACAGACAAGCAGTTATACTGACAGGAAGAATCAATGAACTACCATTGAGAACTACAAGCCAACAGCTGGAAAGGCTGTTGGGACTTGTAGTTCATTTCTTCAAAGAACACCACGAATGAATGACATGGTCAGGTGGGCGGAGTACCGCATGTATGCGGGTTTTTTAAATTGAGACAGCTAGCAGAGAGAAGATCCCCATCTAGCTGTCAGAATGGGGAAAAGCGGGGGCTGGTCCATTTGGAAAATGTTACATCCTGAATATGGGTGTAACATGTTACGAAAGGTGAACTTATCCTTTAAAGCAGAAGTACAGCCAAAGCTCTTTTGGCTGTACTTCTCCTGTGGATCACAGGAGTGCAGATTGTTCTGCACTCCTGTGACCCGTTTTCAGTTGACAGCTGGCTGCATTGTGAAAATGGTAATTTCCTGTCTGTATCCAGGCCCTTTACTTTCTAAGTTACTGAGCTATCATTTCAAGCCAGCATTTTCACAATTCGTGGTCAGCAATGGCAGACAGCATATTTTCTCACTACAAGTTACCTTTAAAGTCTGGCTTCCTGATTCTTGGAATAAGCAGATTGTCTAGTTTATAGCAATGTTATTTAGATCTAAAACAGCCATATATCTCAGCTTGATTGCCCTATGTAAAAGCAACCAAAACCCAAAGGTAAACAGCAAATGAATACATTGGTAGCATTATAATTCTTCTTGTAAAAAGAAGCAATGTTGAAATAAAACAAAGTATCATGGACAGCAAGAAATTAGGAAAAAGCTGACCAAATTGTCAAAATAGATTTTAAACTTTTCGATTTCCTAATTTGCAATAGAAAAGAGACCACTAAGTACAATGTTACTCTATGCCAACCATTAGATTCTTTATAGTTGTTTCCAAGACAGCCTTACTTCTTCCTTGAAGTGTTTTCAAGAAATTAAAAACATATGAAATAAGCACACCCATAAAATATGATGCATGATGTTCAGAATACAGTTCTACTTACATTTTTTTAAATGACACCATGCCCTTAAAAATTGTAAACAAAACAATGTAAGAAAAGTAATAAACAGCATATAATAATTACCATATTATTTTAAGAGATTTGTTTTCTTGTAATGCATCAGCAATGCTTATCCCTCCAGCAGTAGAAATTTCATTGAAGGTCAAACTGCAGGAAAAACACATTTAACGTGGGTTAGAGAACACAGAGAAAGGTATGACTATCGATATGTGATCACGCTCTTACAATGCCCAAAGTATACCTTTGCTGTTTTGACTTTGTGAAAATATGGCCTGTTTTGGGATTTGCATAGCATTCTTTCTCTGACAATACAATCAAGGAAATTGCTAGGACCTTGTGGCTGATCTCTGGGAGAAAAAGCAGCATGTGGCCAGGATTTGGGCATAATTTTAAGGGGAGCTTTTACATAAACAGTGACCTGTTCAGTATCGATCTGTAACAAACACTGTACTGAGACACCAGAGAGCAGAAAAAAACCCTCATTACCAAATTATAGTGCCCTTATAATCAACATAATATGATCCTTCAACATCAGTGTCACAAATTTCAATGTCAATACCGAAAAAAAAAAAAAAAAACCCACCACGGCAGGTAATAATGCCCCCTCCATCCGTACAGTGATTATATTTCCCACAACCAGTATCATAATATCCTTTTCTACCACCACTGCCAAAATAATATCCCCCAGCACTGGCAGCCTAACAATAATCCATGTTACCAGTACTGCAATTATTTTCTCTGACACCTTTATCATAATACTATTCCCCACCAATATTAACATTATAATATTCCCTAATATTCCCACCACCAATACCAAAAAATATCCCCTACATCAGAACTGTAATAAGATACCCCACTATTAGTACCAATAATAATATCTTCCCTTCATCTGTACCATTATACAATCCTCTACCATTAGTGCTCTAATAATATTCCCCACCACCAGTGCCATTATAATATCTCTCACCACTACCCCCCCATCACCAGTAGCTTAATAAAGTGGAACAAAAGTCTAAATAAAAAAAGTTGGGAGCAGGTAGGCTCTATATTGCAGAAGAGACAGGCAATTTATCTACTGCAAAAAAATAAACCTGTCTGCTCTTAGTCTTCAGTAAAATGTACACTGAGCTGTGCATGTGCAGATCAGTTTACATTTTTGTCACGGTGCCGGGATGACTGCGCTCCTGTGCATGCACAGGAGATTTGTCATCCATTTCTGGCCAATCAGGATGGCCAAAGACCAGCACCTTGAAGACTAGATGCCGCTGTGGATCCTCATGGATGTCAGACCACTGGAGCAGAGGTAAGTATTGCTGACATTAGTTATGCTAGAATATCCACCATTATTGCCAGTGCCAGAATATATCTTTACCGAAATCCACCATTATTAGTGCCATAATATTCTTTACCAACATATACTCTGCCAATATTATCCGCCAGTACCAGTACTATAATAATATTCCCCACCACCAGTGCTATGATAATATTCCCCACCACTGGTACTATAATATTGCCAACCACCAGCAACTTTACAACATCCCAGATCCTCTTATCATAATAATCTATATCAAGACAGTATACAATTTATACAGTATATAGAAGGGAGATCTCACTGTTAAGAGAATCCAAGGTATACAAGAACTTAGAAACTGACTCAGGCCACCAGTCTATAGTAAAATATCACTTCTGGGTGGGCTGCTGACTCTTTAAAGAAATGTACAGTTATACTTGGAACAATGAGAAATAGAACTGACTTAACCACAATATAAAACATAACAAGATTTGGATAAACCTTAGATCTGTCAGATTTGGGTGATTCCTAAGAGCTTCTGCAAATGCCTGTGCCCCTTCATCTCCAATACGATTCCCCCACATCCTGCAAAGAAAACAGTTTGGTGCCATTGTAAAAAATATTCTGAAAGTCAAACAATTGCACCCATCTCCTCAAATACTATAATGCAGTGGTTCTCAATCTGTGGGTCGCGACCCCTTCGGGGGTCGAACGACCCTTTCACAGGGGTCACCTAAGACCAACGGAAAACACATATTTCCGATGTGTAAAGAGCAGCTACTGCGTAGAAAGCAGCTACTGTGTAGAAAGCAGCTGCTGTGTAGAAAACAGCTACTGCGTAGAAAGCAGCTACTGCGTAGAAAGCAGCAGTATTAGAGGTAAAACGACACTTCATGAATTATAATTACTGGGTAAATAATTTTATGGTTGGGGTCACCACAACATGAGGAACTGTATTAAAGGGTCACGGCATTAGGAAGGTTGAGAACCACTGCTATAATGCATAACATATATGTGTTGAAAGACTTCTATTTGGCCTCTTATTTCTGAACCTGACTTTTCAGCTTGGTCAGCACACATCTGACGACAGACAGTTATGCCTAGTATACACAATGAGAAAATCGGACAAAAAAAAAAAAAAAAAAACGCTTTCGGAATGATCGCACGATAATCTGAACGTTAGTACACATCTTTCGAGAGATGATCATTACAGTTCATGCAAAAATATCTGAAGGGACAAGCACAAACATTTTACTTGTAAGATAACAGAAGGAACAATTTTCATGTAAGTAGTAAAGTATTTGTAAGAACAAAATTCAGTGACAAAGACCATGCATGCTCTGAAACTAAAGAATACATTATAATACAATACATTCCATCACTTCCGAAGTTGAATTCTGTCTTACGAGAATTTTTGCACCATTAGCAACCTATTTGTTTTCAATATGAGACTATCATGCAAAGAAAACGGATGATCGTTCATCTGATATCCTCACTGTGTGTACTAGGCATTAGCCTTGTTACTGTTTGACCTCAAACATTGTTTCCCAGCTACTGAATGCGCTTAACAGAACAAAATAACAGAGCCCTGTAGTTGCTTACATGATTCTGTTGCTTAAAGAGACAAAGTGGGCTGCATAGTGGCCAAGCGGTTAGCACTTCTGCCTAGCAGCACTAGGGTTGTTGGTTTAAATGTCAACCATGACACTACCTGTCTGGAGTTTGCATTTTCTCCCTCTGCCTGTGTGGTACTCTGGTTAGCTCCCACACCTCTGATGCTGGAAGGCTAATTGAATCCTGTCTAAATTGGCCCTAGTATGTGTATGTAGGAATGTGAGTTAGGGACCTTAGATTGTGAGCTACTTGAGGGTAAAGGACTGATGTGAATGTACAGTATATGTGTACAGCTCTGCGTATATTGACTTCACTATATAAGTACCTGGAATAAAGTCATCTTACCCATGGGGGAGCAAAGTGACTGTGTGTGTGTGTAAGTGTAAAAGTGCCCACCCTCGACCTCTTCCTTTGAAGGAGCTGGCACGAAAATCACCATCCAAACATATGCAAGCAAAAAGGCAGCTTTTTTTTTTTTTTTATTTTCCTTACACCTGATTGGGTATTCTTTACAAAGTGAAGCTTCACAACATTCACTAAGCTCTGGGAAAAAAGAACGGCAACCACACTAGCCAAGTTCACAGTCTAATTGCCTTTAGTAAAGCCCCGTCTCTTTGTCAAATACCATTATGTACACTGAATGTTATGTGTGAGGTCAGCAGATGATGGAACAGCAACTCCCAGACCAAAAAGTCAGATCTAAACAAAGTAATATTCATGTTCGTACATAAGAATCATTCCTGTCCAGTTATCGTTAACAGAAAAACACACTGTACAAGCATTCACATTAAATCAGAACTCCAGTCAAAAGAGTGTTGTCTGCACTAAAGACACATAACAATATCCATCTTTTATATATTTATGTATGAGTGACATTTTGAAGTCATGCGGGACTGTTTACTTACCCAATGTCACAAATATTGGTGTTCTTTTGCAAAGCCCGTCCAATGCATGCACCTCCAACAGCAGTAAACTGATTGTACCCGAGCCTATAAAGAAAGTGAACAAAACATATTTTTGGTATTTCTTTTAAGTAAACGGATCATGACCTTCACAATATACTACGTTTTTTGTTCACCAATAAATTGAAACTGAACAGCCACACTTTATGGACTGGTACAAAACACGTACATCCAAGATCGGTATTGTAGAGTAAACCATAAACAGAAGATTCCAGATAATTGCTCTCAGCAAAAATATTAAAATGCTGACCATTTGTTGGTTTATTCATTTTACTGTGTGCAGCAGATAAATACACATTGCACATCTTTGGAAAAACCCTTGTCAGCCCCACATCTGATGATATAAAGAGTAATGTATTATTCTGTGGCAACTTTAAGAACTATTTCACCTGCATTTATGAAACAAAAAAGGGCATTCACCCCTAAGCTCTTTGAGTCACCCCCAACAACTCAAAGAATTATGTTCTGCTATTCATCTTGCTGCAAGCACAGCACATTTTACCCTTTAAATGCATACATGCACTAAGTGACTTTTTTTTAGGTATGTCTTTTTGTCAAAGCAAACAGTGAATCAATCATCTGACTGTAACCTACTAAACAAGGCCTTGACAAATGTCAAATGGTCAGATTGTTCAACCAAACTTTAAATTTAGGACCATGCGGATCTAATCAACTTTAATTGTAAATACATTTTATTGCCAGATATTTTGATTACAGCATCTCAAAAACTGCTAAACTACAGTGATTTTTATATGTTACAGTTTCAGGAATCTATGAATAGTGCAAAAAAAAAAAGAGAAACATCCCGTGAATGGAGATTCTGTGGATGAAAACATCCTAAAAATGAGAATGAACAGAACAGTCAGGCCCTGAATGTTTACAGGAGCCTGCATCTCTTGATAGAAGACTTGTGTGCAGAAGGGTGCGTCCTAACACAGTACATGCCAATCCTCGAGGAGAAAGGGCTACAGCAGCTGCAGATGGTAAGATAAGAATTCATACAGTGTGAATCATTTGGCATGAGGTGCAATGGGATATTTTTTGCATGATGGTTAGCATATCTGGAAAAACTAGTAGACATGTACCAAAATCCCTAAAGAAGGTTTGCCATGCCTTTTGAATCAGTGATCTGCAGAACTCAAATTTTGGTAGTAGACAGGTGGTTGTGTGTGGTTATTTGAGCAGCGGTGGACTTTCTGTATGCTGAAACAAGTCTGGTGATTCTCCTCTAACCCATAAGGCAAGATTTGCAGCTGACCTCTCACATAATCAAACCCTGTAAGCACATTGCTGTCTTATCCTCATAATAGAGCTGGTCAAAATGGGACTAATTTCCAGGAGTACACAAGAGAGTCAAACTGCCCAAAGAGAGGAAAAAAAAGACATCAACATAGTAAATATTACAGGATACTTTCAAACCCTGAACTCTGCAGATCACTGATTCAAAAGGCATGGCAAACCTTCTTTAGGGATTTTGGTACATGTTTACTAGTTTTTCCAGATATGCCAACCATCATGCAATAAACCTCCCATTGCACCTCATAGCAAATGATTCACACTGTTATGTATGCCGAATTCTCTTTGATAGGGGAAAATGCTGCTGGGGTTCTTTCCTTTAGTGATTCTTTCTGGAAATTATATGCACTTCAGGCTCTGCTCAACCTGAATGTCTCACCTGAACATATCTTTTCTGTCCATCCACAGATATGTTGCTATCTTTATCCACCCAAAACTGACCGTTTATTTTCATTGTCTTTGTTCTTTTTGGTATGTTGCTGCCTACCATCCACCCAAAACCGAAAAACGGACTGTATATTTTCACTGTCTTTGTGCTTTTTGGTATGTTGCGGTCTACATCATCTGTTGCCCTGTCTGCATCATAATTTTTATGTTGCTCTGCAAGTGTCTTACCTAAATTATGGCTGGCCTGTTCTCTGCCCTCTTGCAAGCCTGGCTTAGATGTCAAAAGCTTGCTTTGATAAACAGCCATCCTTAGATTAGCTCAGTGTTTCTCAACTCCAGTCCTCATGGACCCCCAACAGGTCATGTTTTCAGGATTTCCATTATTTTGCACAGGTGATTTGATCAGTTTCACTGCCTTAGTAATTACCACAGCTGTTTCATCTGAGGGAAATCCTGAAAACATGACCTGTTGGGGGTCCATGAGGACTGGAGTTGAGAAACACTGGATTAGCTCATGATTAATTAACAACCAACCACCCCAACCTTAATAGTATAAAACTAGAACACCTTTATGGGAATGGCACTTTGCTAGGGGGAACGTTGCTGGGGTTCTTTCCCTTAATGAATCTTTCTAGAAGTGATTCTTTATACAAGTGATATGCACTTCAGGCTCTGCACTTCAGCAATTGCATGAAGTGAACATACATTGCTAACTGCATTGAAAAGCACCAATCAAGCAGCAAGTGACCCTCTCTCTATTCAGCTTTCTTTCCTCTTGGTAGCATGTGCTTTCTACCACTCCTTCTGACAGTTGCATCCTCTCTCCCTAAACTCTCTCTCCTTCACCTCTCTACTCCACACCACAGCTTATATAAAGCATTCTGTCCTCTCCCTATTAATGTACTCACCAACTCCTACTAATTCTAAATCCACACACTAATAAAACCTCCAGGACACTGAGGCATGTCCCCTCATATAAATTTCACGCCCATATTACCTCCTTTACCCTTCTGCTTCTCCTAACCTCTGGAGATTCCCCAAACCTCCTCTGGCAGCAGCCGCAATCCACAGAACATAGTCCATTCTTCTTCTTTCCAAAACCAGCCTCCCCTTTTCCTACACCCTCTGGAATGCCCGTTTGTAACCCACCCGCCTCCACAACCTCTTTATCACAAATTCCTTTAACCTCCATGCCATTACCAAAACTTGGCTTCATGAATCCAACACTGCTTCCCTCTCCCACAGCGGTCTTCTCTGGACTCACTCCACCAGAGCCAATGGACAGAAGGGAGGTGGAGTAGGAATCCTCCCCCAAAGCACCTATCAGGTACTTCACCCACCTCCCACTCTAACACTATCTTCTTTTGAGGCACATTGTATTCGTCTGGTTTCTCTAAGAATTGATGCAATCTACCGGACCCCTGGACCAGTATCAACCTTTCTTGATGACTTCTCTGCCTGGCTACCCTGCTTTCTCTCTCCTGAAATCCCCACAATAATTCTCTGTGACTTTAACATCCCTGTCAATGCCAATACTCCTACTTCTAAACGCCTTATTCTAGCCTCCTCTTTTGACGTGAAGCAATGGATACAGGCTTCTACTCACTCCAATGGCAACACCCTTGACCTTGTATTTTCCCATCTATGCACTCCATGCAACCTCTCCAACAATCCTCTCCCACTTTCTGATCACCACCTTATTAGTTTCACTCTTTTCCACCTCCTCTTCGTCCAACTGCCTAACAGTTAGCCATAGAAACCTTTGCCACCTCAACCCTTCTCTTCTCTAGACTGCTACTGACCACCTCCGTGATAAAAACTCACCCCTGTCCTACCCCAATATAACCACTTCTGTCTACAACAGTTCGCTGTCATCCTCCCTAGACAAGCTTGCCCCCCTCATTACACACACAATCAGACCCTTGGTAAACAGATGACACCAGAAGTTTCGAAAAAAGGTAGCTGCGCTCTTGAGTGTCTGTGGCGGAAGACTAAGTCTCAGAAAGACTTCAAACTGTATAAATCTGCCCTTCAGAAATATGATTCCCACCTCCTCACTGCCAAGCAGACCTATTTCATCACTCTCATTAACACCTTTTCATCCAGTCCCTGTCAACTCTTCTCTACCTTCACCTCTCTCTTCTTTGTCCTCCACCCACCAACTCACTCACTGCCCCAGGAGATCGCCAATCACTTCAAAAAGAAGATTGATAAAATTAGTGAGATCTCAGATGTGCAGATACCTCCCTCACTTAACACTACATGTCCACAGGTACAATCACTACTTCCCTCATTCAACCCCACTACTATAGGTAGGTTGCTAAACTTTTTTATAATGCTCATCTAACCACTTGCCCCCTGGACCCAGTTACGTAGAAAATGCTACGTTCACCCTCTGGCTCTATCCTACACTCTCTTAACTCACATCTTCAATCGTTCCCTCTCCTCCGGCATCTTCCCCAACTCTGTAAAACATGCACTAGTCATGCCTATACTTAAAAAGCCCTCACTAGACCCCTCCAATCTTATTCTACGGCCCATCTCCTTACTCCCCTTTTCCTCCAAACTCCTTGAACACTTGATCTACAACCAACTGAACAACCAGCTCAATGAGAATAACCTTCTTGATCCCCTTCAGTCTGGATTTTTTCCTCAACCCTCCACAGAAACTGCTTTCCTTAAACTCACAAACAATCTAACAGCTAAAACCAATGGACACAATTCTATACTCCTACACCTGGACCTCTCTGCTGCTGTGACACAGTGGACCACTCCTTCCTCCTCAAAAACTCTACTTCTTTGGTCTTCTTCACTGTACTCTTCACAGGTTCTCATCATACCTATCCCACCGCACATTCATTATTTCTTACAATTCTACTTCCTCTTCCTTTCTCCGCTGGGGTATCCCAAGGTTCTGTTCTTGAACCCCTCCTATTCTCAATCTACACCTCCTCCTTGGGTCAGTTGATAGCATCCCATAGCTTTCAATAGCATTTCTATGCTGATGACACCCAAATATATTTCTCTACCCCTCATCTCACTCCATCAGTTTCCACACACATCACTAATCTACTGAAAAACATATCAGACTGGATGTCACACCACTTCCTGAAAATCAATCCATTCAAAACCGAGCTCATATTTCCTCCCCAACGTGCCCCTTCCCCTGACTTCTTTGTCAAAATCAACGGCTCAACCATCAACCCATTCCCGCATACCAAATTTCTAGGTGTAATCCTGGACTTTGAACTATCCTTTCGGTCCCACAGCCAATCGCTGTCCAGAGCTTACCACCTCTGTAACATCTCCAAGATACGCCCCTTTCTAACCAATGACACCACAAAGCTTCTAACTCACTCCTTTGTCATCTCCCGCCATGACTACTGCAACTCCCTCCTCACTGGCTTATTTTTACATAGTCTATTCCCTCCTCCAGTCCTTCACGAATGCTGCTGACAGGCTCATCCACCTTACCAATCATTCAGTGTCTGCCATCCCTCTCTGCCAATCTTTCCACTGGCTTACGCTCACCCAACGAACTAAATTCAAAATACAACAACTTATAAACCCATCCACAACTCAGCCCCCAGTTGCATCACTAACCTTGTCTCAAAATACTGACCAAATTGTTCTCTTTGTTCCTCCCAAGAACTCTTGCTCTCTAGCTCCCTTGTCACCTCCTCCCAGGACTTCTCCAGAGCTGCTCCCATCCTCTGGAACTCCCTTCCCTGGAACTCCCTCTGATCCCTCCAGTATTAATTGTAAAGTCTGCCCTTATGCTGGAAAGTGCTGCGTAAACTGTTAGCGTTATAAAAATCCTGTATAATAATCATAATATTGAAAATTTTAAATTTTAGGAACTGAGACACTTCACTGATTAACAATGGGCTTTTTTTGTGTACTCACTTGATGTGTTTCAGACTGGGGCATTCTTCCATGATTCGTGCCACATGCCTAGCTCCAAAATCAGTAATGAGATTTTTGTACAAACTACAGGAGAGAAAAAAAATTACTCAACATGCAAATATTTTTGGGGTCAATACCCACAAATTGCCTCCTTTAATCCCCTGTACAGAAAAACTTGATGTGGAAAGAGTAGTTACAGCACTATGTATGCACATGCATTGATCTTGAACACTGACAGCAAGTAAAGACTCCAATTATCCAGTCATGCAAAAAGCATATTCCTGTTCATTTATTTCATCTTTAAGTGATTGAGTATTCCAAGTGAACACAACTACAATTTATTGAATAAAGATTCTCAACTGACGGCCATGAGTCTTTAGGCATTGTATGTTATTGTGGAGGAACTTTATCTATTGCCTGATTGATGTCTTTTAACCCCTTGTTTGTGCACGCTTAATATATTGCTGTTGACGGTTATTATTGAGAACAGACTGTCATGTCACACTACATGGACTTGTTGCATACAAAAAAAAAAAAAGTAAAAAAGAAGATTCTCAACTCCTTTATTAAATCAGCATAAATGTACATCAGTATAATGCAAACAAATGATGTGAATGAGGCAGTAAGTATCCTAAGGACAGATTTCATCCTTCTCATAATCTGCTGGCTTAAAGCAGAAGTGTAGCCAAAGCTTTTTTGGCTTTACTTCTCCTATGGATCACAGGAGTGCACTCTGTTCTGCACTCTTGTGACCCATTTTCAGCCTTCAGTGGGCTAAAGCTCACTGTCAGCTGAAATCACAGTGCCGGTCCAGGCTCTGAAAAGATCCCAACCACGTGGTCGGGATCCACCCAGAAGTCTAGATTTGACATCTGGCTCATCTTCTGAGTAGTACGTGAAGAGCTGCTCTCTCCCCCTCCACAGTCCAGCACTCTAGTAAGCACTGGAGGAGCGGAGCAGAGAGTCGGTGACCGATAGTCACCGTTCTCTGCTCAGAGTGGAAGTGGAGAACTAAGCAATCAGCCGTGTTCAGTGCAGAGCTGCTGGAGGACAGATGCAGCAATGGATCAATGTTGCATCCACCTAGATGAGTATAATGTTTTTTTTTTTAATGCCCATACTTCTCTTTTAAGTCTTTTCTTTTCTCACACTTCTGTAAAACTCTTTCCTATCTAAAGACAGAACTAGCAGAAATCTAAACTGGATACATAATTTCTTGTTGGGTTGACTTATATATACTGTATATTTGAGACTCCTATGCTAAAATTTCTGCATATTGCTTTGGGTTTATGCTCATAGTAAAAAGGTGCCACACTTCTGAAGAAAGACTTCGTAAGTAAATGTTTTTTCCACAGTGCACAGAACCCAACAGGGGAACAATTTCATAGAAATAGAAGTCTACAAGACCACATACCTCTAAAACCAATTAAAAATAGCATAAATAGTATCCAACTACTCATGCATGCGCAGTGGGCACCCAGCTATGAAGCTGCAAGTTGTCACAGCTGGATGCCCACACTGAAGATGCTGGTGCCGAGGCCACAGGATGGCTGGCGAAAAGTTAGCAGCTACAGTTTATGCAGGTCCAATGGCATACATTAATTACCTAAGAACTAAATCTGGTTGCTTTCCTATTGTGAGGTAACCATCAATGTTGCCCCTTGTACCCCGTACTTTCTGTCCTTACATTTGTTCCAGTAGCAATCCTCATCTGCAATAATCCCAATATTAGAGGGCTGGAACTGACAGGAATAGAATGTAAGGCCAGTCTCTTCACAAATGATCTTTTACTTGCAATTACTCAAACTTACACTTCTACCCCTAACCTGCTACAGACCTTGGATGCATTTTCCTCCCTCTCAGGTCTCACTGTCTACTAAAGTAACTCCTCTGCCCTAAATGTAACCTTGCTTAAATCCTCACTGGAATTTTTCAAAACAATCTTTCTTTCGCTTGTTCTTCCACCTGCATGCTCTACCTTGGAGTTAGAATTACATCATCATACGATGTGTTATATTGGACTAATAATATACCTAGATTTCATTCTTTAAAATCTTTGCGGAGCACATGGTGCCTGGCTTATTCATGCCTAAATCACATCCCCCAGTGAGTTATAAGGTACATCATCTTTTTACACCCTCCTCCATTATTTCCTGGTCATACTTAAATGAAAATAAAAAACCCACTGCCAGAATTATATGGATATCTGAGATAACTTAGCAAAGTGTTCACTTAATGTAATACATTCACACAGACACAGAGCCCTGTACAGAATAAAGAGCCATTTGTTTATTTTTTTGAACTAGTGCACTCACCCTTGTGTGCCTGACAAACTTGGCTATGGTGGCGAGTCTGTACATCCGATGTGCATCTATTCACGTATACAAGCTACCTGCACACAGCTACGTGCTAGTACACATAAAGTAAATGTTTCTGTATGCTGTATAGGGCTCTGCGTTCATGTGAATGAGCTCTAGTACAGAGGTGGCATGGTATATGATTTTCTTTTGAATGTCTCATTCTGGCTATTCTGACATATGTTTTCATGGTTGTGAAGCAGCTTACGACAAGTTTCATATTTGGTGAACCTGCCAATTAGAATTGCCTTTTTTTAGTTTACAAGCATTTGTTTAATCTTCTGGAGGATAAAGAAAATACATTTCTATGTGTTTGAGAGCTCTGGATGCAACTACACTGCCCAGAGATGGATATTACTGGACTTTAAATGGATGGTTGTATCTTAACTTGAAATCCAAAAAATAAAAAAAAAAGAGAAAGGGATTCTTGATTCAGTTATACTGTAATATATGTTTAAGATGGTCAGCAGCATCAAAGTTATCCCTCTCTGACCAGTCCCTACTCTACTGTGCAACATGCCAAATGTTTACATTCTGATACTTTACTTTTACTAGACATATAGTGCTGATATGGAGCAGGCAGACACAGTTGGAGGTGAACTACAGACTTCCGCACACTTCTATGTACCCTTATTTCTAGCAGAGGACTAAAATGAGTAGCAAAGGAAGGCAAAGGAGCATAGCTTATTGGCTAGCATTGTGCTTAATTTGTGACCAATGACGTAGACTTTTTTGATGTGCCCATTTCTAAGTTCGTTCTTCCTTGTTGGTAAGAGATCAGGTCATTGTAGAATCACTTAATTGTTTAATAGGGGTGAATGGGCAGGATTTAAATAGCTCTGACAGCTTGTTGAGTTCAGCTTCAAGACACTTAATATGGGTTGTTCATTACTTTTTGTGTCCAAAAGAGTGTTGGGTAATATGGCCAAGGAAAGCAGATTTGTAGGCTTCTCAGAGGGTGGTGCAAGATTTCTACCAATTAAGTTGTAAGTAGTCAACAGATTTGGATTTACAGTCTTTCAATTAATTTAGAAGAGAAAGAAAGAAGAAAATCATTCAGACTGCAAGAGTAAGTTTGGGGAGTGTATACTATATAGATTTGCAAGACAGCAGAATGGGGTCATGATCTGTCCATGAGAATAGAGGCTAATGTTATTTGTGGAAAAAAATGACAGTGGATAAAAACATTATCGATTTGTGAGTGACTGGAGTGAATGTAAAGAGGACACCACCAGGGCCAGTGCTAGACTATTTTGTGCCCTAGGCAAGACCAGCTACTGGCCCCACCCACCCAGAAAAAAAAAAACCCATAAACTTCACCTACAGCTCTACTTCACCCTTCCTAGAATAACCCCCCCCCCCAAATCCCTCCTCCCAGCATCACTCTTCCTTTAATCCACCCACTCAGGACAAATTCTCCCAAATTCCTCCTCTAGTTAAACCCCCTCCAAATTATCCTTCCCAGCATAAGATCCTCCTACCTTACCCAAATCCCCCCAAAGTTCAACCCAGCACCCCCCTAGTTCCGGCCATGGCGTAAAGTAGGGAAACCAGTGGCCGTGGCTGTGCCCCTAGACGGCAGTGTGCCCTAGGTGGCTGCCTAGTTTGCCTAGTGTTAGCGCCGGCCCTGGACACCGCACACCTAAACAGCTGGAACTATAAATTAATGAAAAGCAGTTTTAGCCTTTCTACTCCCAGGTCATGCTTGCTGATGTGATTTGCCATGCCTACAGGGGTGGGAGTGTGAAGCAGGCACTGGGTTTTATGTATCATGAGCCTCTATGAACGAACAGAAGACAATCATATTAATCAAAAAATAAACAGTAGATGAACCAAGGAACACAACAGCGTCTGTTTAACCAACACTGATTCAAAACAGAGCACATGTAACATCTACTATGACCTGCTTGTGGTGGGCTGTGGCATCTTTGGAAATATATTTAATAGAGAAGAGAATTCTTTTCTCTGCTTCTTTTGAAGAAGAGGAGGAAGATTTCAAAGCACAATGGACAAGTATATTAGATGAGGCATCCAATGGTTTGATCATCAGTCATAAAAAGGAAAGGTTAGAATCCTTGAATAAGGATAATAGATTCATACTACTAGATATGTTTCGCCATTTGCCCAATTTTCAGCTAAGAGAAAATTGATCAAAACCTTGGATGCCCTTGTGGATGAAATCCCTAAAGTTAAGAGATCAAATTTTTAAAGAGACAAATCTGAGTAGAAGGAGGTGCGTGATGTATAGCTGAAGTCCCAACCTTTGCAATAGGATTGGTGAATGTGGTAAATCAAAATACTTTATACTTTTGACATCGTCTAAACCAAAAACACTACTTTTCAGATATGGAAATGGAAACCTCTGAACCCTCTCCTTCCTCTACGACATCAAGTGCAAAAAAAAAAAAGGAAACCGGAAACTTAAGGACTCCTTTTTGGATTTAAAAATACACAAGGGAACCTGGTTGAGAACTAATGCCATAGGTGCACATGCCATGTTTTGGCAGTGTAGTGCAAAATTTAACACCACACTGCAAAATGTGCTAAATAAGAAGAATAAATGTAGACAATGGAAAAATTATACATGTATTTCTCAATGTGTTTCTCAATAACTAAAGACTTAGGGTTTCGTAAGTATGAGTAAATCCTGAGCTATATCTTTACTTTTAAATGTTCCTTTGCAGTTTTCCCAAATTCTAAATAACTGCATAATATCTTGGTGTTATAAATTAGGAATAAAAACATGATCCCACTTACCCAAGATATCTAATGATCTTATACTTAGTTAATTCTTCAGCTAATACTTTTACACCCTCATCTCCAATCTGATTGACACTGAGCCTGTGGCAGAAACAACAGAGAACTAATTAAAGGTTCATGTACTTCAAACCATATCATATTTTTCAAAACAGTATAATTAAAAGTACAGTATACAGAAATATATACAGTATAAAACAATTACAGTTTTAAAGAAGACACAGTTTTCCCTCATTCACATCACATATACTGTAGCACTAGATACAGACAAGGCCCAGAATTTACTTATAAATAATGGTATGACATAACTTTGCTTCTCCTGCAAGATCATTCGTACTCGATACTGCAGATTATATTATCCCTTTATACACACACTGCTCAAAAAAATTAAAGGAACACTTTTTAATCAAAGTATAGCATATTATATTAGACTCATGGGATATTGATCTGGTCAGTTAAGTAGCAGAGGGGGTTGTTAATCAGTTTCAGTTGCTTTGGTGTTAATGAAATTAACAACAGGTGTACTAGATGGGCAACAATGAGATGACCCCCTGACTTTTCTGACTGTTTTTCACTAGTTTTGAATTTGGCTAATGTCAGTGTCACTACTGGCAGCATGAGGCGATACCTGGACCCTACAGAGGTTGCACAGACAGTCCAACACCTCCAGGATGGCACATCAATACAAGCCATTGCCAGAAGGTTTGCTGTGTCTCCCAGCACAGTCTCAAAAGCATGGAGGAGATTTTAGGAGACAGGCAGTTACTCTAGGAGAGCTGGACAGGGCCATAGAAGGTCCTTAACCCATCAGCAGGACCGGTATCTTCTCCTTTGTGCAAGGAGCAACAGGATGAGCATTGCCAGAGCATTACAAAATCTCCAGCAGGCCACTGGTGTGAATGTCTCTGACCAAGCAATCAGAAACAGACTTCATGAGAGTGGCCTGAGGGCCCGATGTGCTCTAGTGGGCCCTGTGCTCACTGCCATAGCGCTCAATTGGCATTTGCCATTGAACAATTGGCATTTGCCATTGAAGGTCCACCACTGGTGCCCTGTGCTTTTCTCATGAGAGCAGGTTCGCCCTGAGCACATGTGACAGGCATGAAAGGGTCTGGAGAATTTGTGGAGAACATTATGCTGCATGTAACATCGATCAGCATGACCGTTTTGGTGGTGGGTCAGTGATGGTCTGGGGAGGCATATCAATGGACATACAGACTGCTACAGGCTAGACAATGGCACCCTGACTGTTATTCGGTATCAAGATCAAATCCTTGGACCCACTGTCACACCCTACGCTGGTGCAGTGGATCCTGGGTTTCTCCTGGTGCACGACAATGCCAGGCCTCATGTGGCAAGAGTATGCAGGCAGTTCCTGGAGGATGAAGGAATTGATATTATTGAATGGCCCCCACGCTCGCATTACCTAACTCCAATAGAACGCCTCCGGGATATCATATTTTGGTCCATCTGACACCGCCAGGTTGCACCTCAGACTGTCCAGGAGCTCAGTCATGCCCTGGTCCAGATCTGGGAGGAAATACCCCAGGACACCATCCGACATCTCATTAGGAGCATGCCCCGACGTTGTCAGGCATGCATACAAGCACGTGGGGGGCCATACAAACTACTGAGGACCAATTTGAGTTGCTGCAATAAAATTTCAGCAAAATGGACTAGCCTGCTGCATCATTTTTTCACTTTGATTTTCAGGATGTCTTTGAATTCAGTGCTCTTTAGGTTGATAATTTTAATTTCCATCAAACGATGGGGCATCCTTACGTTCCTAACACATTACCCAGTCCATATCAGTATAGATATCCAGCATGATATTTTTCCCCATTGAGATCTGACGTGTTTTCAAAGTGTTCCTTTAAATTCTTTGAGCAGTGTATATCTGTTATTTGTAAGGCACTGGACTGTTTTGTGTATGCCATTCTGCTGTCTTTTTTCCTGGCTTGCAATACGTACTGAGTAAGTGAACTCAAGTAGGAACACAGATGGAAAAAAAACGACGGGGTTTTACCACTCTACCAATCCAAACAAGTTATTAGCAACCCTCTTACTAGGAAAGCGTGGTGGTAAGGCACTTTTTATTTTGGATCACATGCTAAACTAGCCAAAATGAAAAAAGGTTTGGCTTTTGATAAACTATACCTTAAACTCCCTAGCGGTCTGATTATGTCAATATTTCTGTGCTCAAAGCAGTACATATTTTTGCATGGAAATCTGTCATTTTCTTATTGTAGGCCTGTAATTTTTAGGAATAACTCACTGAAATCTGTCCGAACAAGAGTCTAGTAAACATCCCGGCTATGATAAAATTTGAAACACGAAATCATAAATTATAATCATAAAAATATTAATACAATAATACATTTAATTCAATAATATAATCAAACCAAAAACACTGAAATTTGAAATAGAGCGCCAAGTTCGCATATCACTGAGCTTAGTTGCAAAATCGTTTTCAGTGTCTGATGACGAATGGATGCCATGAAGGCTTCTCAGTTTCAAGGCAGAAAGAACAGTAAAAATGCAGGCAGGGCACAGGACAAAGTACTCAGGACAAAATGTATGTGAAATGGTTTGATACAGTAATGTTATACTATGTGATTTTAGTGTATTTAGTGAATGTAATTTTTTAACATTTTTAAACTTCCCGCACGTTTCGTACCCAGTACGTCCCGACGTTCGCAGGGACAGGAACCCGGAAAAAACGGATGCCGGCATCGGCCAGAGGAGATGGCCCGGGGACACTGCAGGGGGGACATCGTGGGAGCGAAGGACAAGTGGGATCCCAGAGCAATGCTGCAGGGTAATCCCGAGTGTAGCTCGAGGTTACAGCTTTTGGTACTGAAAGTTAACCCCGGGCTACGCTCGGGAATGCCACCAGGGAGGTTAAGTAAGACTGAGAGATCAGCCACGTGAAGCCACAGTCACCCACAATAATCCATCAAAAAATTGTCTGTTGCAAACTATGTGAAATCTGCCTACTTATGGTGTGTTATTTTACATGTGATTGTAAAATGACTAGTTTTGGAGGAAGGATCAATTGAACAGATTTGAAAGCCTTCTCCAAATACAAACCTTTCCCCAAATATAAGCTTTCTGCAAGATGTTAGCCAGCGAAAGACATACTTAATACTTAAAGACTTAATGATTGTGCCTTTGGCAAGCTATAGACATTACAAAATTAAAATGGTATTAAACCATACAAACACACACACACACACCCACCAGTCACTTTATTAGGTACACCCTGCTAGTACCGGGTTGGACCCCCTTTTGCCTTCAGAACTGCCATAATTCTTCGTGGCATAGATTCAACAAGGTAAACATTCCCCAGAGATTTCGGTTCATATTGACATAATAGCATCACGCAGTTGCTGCAGATTTGTCAACTGCACATCCATGATGCGAATATCCCGTTCCACCACATCCCAAGGGTGCTCTATTGGATTGAGATCTGGTGACTGTGGAGGTCATTGGAGTACAGTGAACTCATTGTCATGTTAAAAAAAAACAGTTTGAGATGATTTGAGCTTTGTGACATGGTGCATTTTCCTGCTGGAAGTAGTCATTAGAAGATGGGTACACTGTAGTCATAAAGGGATAACCATGGGCAGCAACAATACTCAGGTAGGCTGTGGAGTTTAACCACTTCCCGACCGGCCGTTGTATATAAACGGCCGGACGGTGGCACTGCAGGGTCAGGTGGCCGTCTATAAACGGCCTCCCTGCACCCTGCTTGTGCGCGCTCCCTGGGAGCGCGCAGCACCGCGCTCCGGTGCCCGCTGTGTCCTCCGGACACAGTGAAACACCGATCGTCGGACGGGACCTCTGTACGAGGTCCCGATCATGTGATCACTGATTGGCCAATCAGTGATCACATGCAAAGTAGTAAGCAAGATGTCACTTCTGACATCATTGCTTACTATGTGTGAAATCTGTGAATGATCACAGAGGTCACATGGTACAAGGCTATTCACAAAAAGCCTTGTACCATGTGACAAGCTGTGACCAATCACAGCTCACTCAGTTCTTCTCAATGAGTGCAAGAATGCACACAGAGAGAAAGAGAAATGATTGCTTTTACATCCTATATGGGTGTAAAAGCAATCAGTGTAAAAAAAAAAAAAAAAAAAATTCTTCATCACCCCTCACAAGTAGTACAGTGTCACCATGGTGACACTGTACTGCTAGGGTGACAGTATGTAAAAAAAAAAATTAAATAAAAAATAATAATATAAAAAATAAAATAAAAATGTAAAAAAAATGTTTAAAAGTTATAATTTTTGCTTATAAACTAATTTGGATTTTTTTTTTTTTACTAAAAAGATAACGGAATAAATTTTGGCTAAGATTTATGATGAAATATTATTTATTTGCAAAATTTTATAAAAAAAACCACTTTTTTTCTAATTTTTTGGACATTTCATTTACATAGCAAAAAAAATACAAATCCCAGTGGTGAATAAGTACCACCAAAATAAAGCTTTATCTATCTCAAAAAAATGGTAAAAAATTCATTTGGGTACAGTGTTGCATGACCTCGCAATTGTCATTCAAAGTGTGATAGCGCTAAAAGCTGAAAATTGCCCTGGTCAGGAAGGGGGTAAAAGTGTCCGGTCTGGAAGTGGTTAAACGATGCTCAGTTGGTAATAAAGGGTCCAAAGTGTGCCAAGAAAGTATACCCCACACTATTACACCACCACCACCAGCCTAAATCATTGATACAAGGCAGGATGGATCCCTGCTTTCATGTTGTTTAAGCAAAATTCTTACCCTATCATCTAAATGTTGTAGCTGAAATAGAGAATCATCATCAGACCAGGTAATGTTTTTCCAATCATCTATTGTCCAATTTTGGTGATCCTGTACAAGCTGTAGCCTCCATTTCCTGGTCTTAGCTGACAGGGGTAGCAGCTGGTGTGGTCTTCTGCTACTGTAGCACATCTGCTTCAAGGATTGACGTGCTGTGCATTCAGAGGTGGTTTTCTGCATACCTTGGTAGCAACGAGTGGCTATTTGAGTTACTGTTGTCTATCATCTCAAACCAATCTGACCATTCTCCTCTAACATCAACAAGGCATTTTTGTCCACACAACTACCACTCACTGACTATATTCTCTTTTTCGAACCATTCTCTGTAAACCCTAGAGATGGTTGTACATGAAAATCCCAGTAGATCAGCAGTTTTTGAAATACTCAGACAAGCCCCGTCTGGCACCAACAACCATGCCACGTTCAAAGTCACTTAAATCCTTCCCCATTCTGATACTCAGTTTGAACTTCAGAAAGTTGTCTTCACCACGTGTAATTGCCTAAATGCATCTACACTGGCTGGCTGTCCTGATATCACTGTATTTGAGTGTCGCCAGCCATTATCTTTGATCACCACAGCAGAACAATGTCACCAGACGAGTGCTGTCAGTCAGTATCTCTATTCACCGCCACCCACTCACAGTGTCCCTAATCACCACCACACCAGTTATAGTGCCTCTGATCACCACCACACCAGTCTTATTTTCTCTAATCATAGCTACACCAGTTACAGTGTCCCTGATCACTACCACACTAGTCATATTATCTCTAATCCCAGCCACATCAGTTACAGTGTCTCTGATCATGGCGACACCAGTCATATTATCTCTAATCACAGCCACTCCAGTTACTCTGTCTCTGATCACCGCCACACCAGTTACAGTGTCCCTGATCACTGCTACACCAGTCATATTGTCTCTAATCACAGCCACGTCAGTTACAGTGTCCCTGATCCTCGCCACACCAGTTATTGTGTCCCTGATTACTGTCACACCAGTTACGGTGGCCATCATCATCGTAACACCAGTCATATTGTTCCTAATCACAACCACACAAGTCATATTGTTTCTAATCACCTAATCATTAATGACATTTTCAAATGACTCATTATGCCTTTCAGAAAATACCTTGGAGTGTTTGCTTTCCAAAATGGGGTCATTCTATGGGTATCCACTGCCCTGGTGCTCCAGGGCCTCCAAGGATGTTTTAGGTAGTCAGGAATTTGGATGTGTACTTTATGTTCCTTGAAAACCCAAAAAGTGGTCCTTGGATTATGGGCCCCTCTGTGCATATAAAAGTCTCACACATGCAGTATCCCCATACCCAGGAGGCATTGCAGAATGTATCTGGGGTGTACTGATAACTATCCCTATGCTGTGTGTGAGAAATAACTTTTAAAAAATGGCAACTTTGTGAGAAAAAAAACTATATGCAATTTCCTTAATTTCTTCCAAAAAATTGTGCCAAAAAATTGTGACAAAAAAAACCAAAAAACAAAAAGTGGTCATCTGGGGGGTATTTGTACCGTACTGGCATTTTAGGGCAAGGACTGATCAATTTTCAAATATATGTACCACAGTTTGTAAGCAGCATAACTTTCACACAGACTAAATATTATACACTGATTTGGGTTATTTTTTACCAAAGAAATGCCGCAGAATAAATTATGGCCCAAATGTATAAAGAATTATTTGCAAAATTTTCCTTTTATATAAAAAAATAACAAAAATCAGTGGTGATTAAATGCCACCAAAAAAGTTCTCACAATATGATAAAAATTTCATTTGGGCACAGTGTTGCATGATTGAGTAATTGTCATACAAAATGAGGGGGGAAAAGTGTCCAGTACTGAGGTGGTTATATGAATGTCATTGATGCTCTATTTTCTACTAAATTTTCTTTTCATGCCTTTTATATTGTTAAATTTAAAGATTATTACGGAAAAAAAAACTTTATTACACTAATGCAACTTTTATGTAATTTTTTTGTGAAATGGTAAAGTTCAAAGTGAAGTATGCTTTTTACTTTATATGTACTTCATTCCCCTACAGAGGCACTTACTTAGGTGTTATCAATAGCGTGGACAGGAGTGGCTCTGCCCTTTCTTCTTCCTGCAAACACTACAATTTACATAAACAGGTTCACATTTATGGCTAGAAGCAGAATAAGAAGAAATACTTGCTGTTGGTTTTCCTTTTCGGCTTCTAGAATGATCTGGAGTTTGAAAAAATCATATATGAAAGTATCATATAGAAGAAAAAAGAAAAACTTACCAACCATCAAAGTTGGTATATAGTTTCTCAGAAGCCATTGCCATATTTTTTTTTTTCAATTAGAGAAAACGTCTTACCTAACAACAAGAAGTTTATTGAAGCAGGGTATAAGCTCTTTGACTCCATAGTCATTTATATTGTTATTATCCAGCTCCAAAGCAATCTGTTTCTTGTAGTGGTTCAACACAAAGCAGACTGCTCCACAATCCGATGAAGATGCATCACAAAAACTGAGTTTAATGTAATCTGCACATATTCCTTTGGCAGCCAGCTTCCCCACCTTCTCATTCTGTGTCTCACTTATGCATCTCACCATCCAGATGAAGTGAGGCAGTGCGTGAACCCGATTGTACCCCATAATAGATGCTCTGGGCAGGCTTTTCAGGTGAGATTTGACACTTTTGAAAAGGTGTTGTTTTAGAGCTTTTCTCTTCACTTTTAAGGCAGATGCTGGCACTAAGCACTTTAGAAGGTTTTCTTTTGGTTTTGAAAGCAGTCCACAGAGAAAAAGATTAACAAACTGGAAGTGGTCCTTATTTGTAAATGGATCAGTCCGATTTTTTTTACTTGCACAAACACAGGAAAGCAGGGAAGGACTGTCTTCTTCAATTTCTTGGTGTTTACAATGATGGAAATATTTTAGAAGATCTGGAGTACTACTTTGATCATCAATGACAAGAAATAAGGCAGTAAAAAAGGACTGCAGTGTCATATGAAAAAATTCAAATGAAGTATTGTCACCACATCCACTATACTGTTCCACAGGTCTAAGGAAGCCCAGCTGAAGATCATTCTCAATAATGCGATGAAAAGTAATATAATCTTGGTCAAAAACAAAGACTGAATTTTCCATTCCATTGTAGGCAAGCCGTCCAATAGACAACAAAGTGTCCTTACCAACTGTAAAAGCTTCAGGTTGGCTTGCTGTTTTTCCTTTAGTTGAGGCATTCAAATAAACTGCAATTATGCGTAAAAAGATGTCCGTAAGCGTTACTGAATTGCCCGAAAACTCATGATCCTCATTCATGGAATGAAAGTGTTGATAAGACTTAAATATTATCCAGCAAAATAAAGGGATTGAACATAAGCTGCTGAAATTGTGGTTGGCCTGTAAATGGTTTAACACACACTGCCGAACACTGACATCTTTGAAAAACAAGCCAGTGTACTCAACTAGGTTATTGGCAGAAAAGCCCCGCAGCATGATTTTCTTACGGACAAAATTTGCAGATATCTGACAGCCTGTCCTTGCTGTCAGGACTTTCTTTGATCCTTTTAACAACTTGCCACTTAGTAAGTGCACGAGTAATGCAACAGGGTGGGTAGCATCAATGGGTGATGAAACTTCAGGGACACTGTTTATATCAAAACTTGAATGAATCTCATCGAAGCCATCAAATGTGAACAATACACTCTCTGGAAACCTACAAATATATCTAAACACTTCTTCTGAATCATAGTCTGGCCTACAACAATATCTAAAGATCAAGTCTCTCAAACACAGCTCAGTGCTGGATGTAAAAAAGTAAAATGTCCGGCATCGAAACCTAAAAAAGAATTTTATATCGCTATAGGACTGTCCTTTGGCCCACATGTTTTGCATTTTCTGGATCAAAAGAGTCTTCCCCATACCAGCATCACCAAAGATGAAAATTGTTTCACCGAGCTCATTAATCATCCCAGTGTCATCAAACAATGAAGTTAAGCCTCCCACACGACCCATAGTTTCATCCTTGTCATTTATTAGTTCCATGACTCCATCAACATATGTTTCCTGAAGCATCATCTCCTCTTTCTGAGTGTAAGACTTTATGAACTTTGAATCACAGCACAATTCCTGTTTGAGCTTTCTGCTGTACAGTGATACTGAAAAAACAACCAAAAGTGCTGATTAAAGCAAGTACTTTGTTATAGTTCATACATCTGATATATAATAAACCCTGCTATCTGTGACCCTATAGAAAGTTAGGGCACACAAACAGCCACATGTATAAACACAGATCTTTAAAAATACTGTTCTTTTTACCCTCGGTCATGTGATCTCCATCCCTATTTTCATTTAAGCATGTCCTGAGATGGGGCAGAGCTATAAAAAAGCAAGTCACATATACAGTGACATCACAATAGCTAATCCATGCCCTCCCTTCCAGTCCATTCAGAATGGAGTGAACTGTCAAGTCAGGCATGCTCCCCACCCCCTAGGTCAGGCCTTGAAATTTCCACTCGCCTGCTCGCATTTTGCTAGTGGAAATAACATGGGGGTGAGGGCCAGATCGATCAAACAGCCGATGGATATAGAGCGGGGTGCCGGCACCAGAGGCGGAATAAGCTTTCAGGCATTACGCACTCACACACTACCCAAGGGCCCAGAGTCCTTAGGAGGTCCTATGACAGGCTCCGAGTCCGGTCCGGTGAGAGGAGAGAGTGACTGACAGAGCCCAAGCAGGAAAATCCACAGACTGGTGAGAACTCAGCATGTAACAGCGGGAGGAAGGGGGTGAAATGTCTGTAATAGGAGTGCTTAGAAACGGAGTGTGACAAGCTGAGAGAGCCAGAGGGCAGGTGTGTGTGTGTGTGTGTGTGTGTGTGTGTGTATGTGTGTGTGTGTGTGGTGGTGGGGGGGCTCTGTATTCACTTTATGTAGTAGGGGGCCCTGTGTGTGTTCTGGGGGGGCGCATTGTACTATAATGGAGACCATGTGTTCTAAGAGGGGGTTGTGTGCTCATAACCTCAAATTATGGGGGGACGGTGCCATAATTGTGAGTATCAGAAATACCAATCACCCCCCCCCCCTTTTTTGCCCCCCTTCCCCCCTCTTTTTCTCTCACCCCCTTCTCTCTCTCTCACCCCCCTTTCTTTTTTTAAAAGGGGGTAGAGGACATGGCTATGGGGGGGGGGGTGAAGGAGGGTATATATTTCTGTAACTGTATTCTGCATAAAACATTTAACAGTGTCATTTAATGAGAATTTAATGAGGGCGTGTTTAGGGAAGGGATTAGGGGCATGGCAGGGTAGCGGCTGGGTGGGGAAACTGGTAGCGGGTAACTGTTAAGGCCTGCTAGTAGCTCAGGACTTGAATTTTAAGCCTTGCCCTAGGTGGATCAGAAGGTTGACTAACAGCAGACTCCGCATAGTATGGAAGGGAGTATAATAGCTCGGATCGTAGTAGGATAAAAATAGCAGTTGGACAGGACATATATAAAAGGTCTAAGAGTACTCATAGGATACACAATCCTTTAGCCATTAGCTAGCCTTTAGCCCTCCCCTTCCATGTCATTCAAAGCAGACTCCATTTCCAGTCAAGCATATGATCCGCCTAGGAGGTGGAGCACATAATTGACTGAAAGTGCACACCATTCTGAATAGCCTGGAAAGAACTGATTTGGAAGAATAGAGATTACATGACCTAGTAAGATAGCCCTGTATAGTAGCATGTGGCTTACTTTGTTAAAAGGGGATACTGTGATGGCAACCATGTGTAGGCTCTATGAGAATCACCAGGTATTTTTTTGTTATAGTAAACATGTATATTAAAATGTAAGAGCACAAACAGTTAACAAATGTAATCAGGAAGGTATAGTCACCAAAAACTCAAGCTGAAAGTTTCCTGTAGCAGAAAAGTTCTCACACTCCAGTCCAGGGCTACAGCCAGGACTCAGCAGTGACAGAGAGGAGGGAATATAATTTTACTGCAGAGAACACAGTTAGCCTACTCCTAAAAATGTCAGGTTCTGCAGAGATTGTCGCATTATAATCAAGTATGGCCATGAGTTTTCACTCATGATAACCCTCTCAGCAACAACTTGGCTGAAAATTCTGGGGAAGATCTATCTTATCATTACATTTCATAAGCCATATAAGGACCCCGTATTTCATAATGTAATTTTGCATGTATATTGTTTAAGGACATAGTGAGAAGGGACTAAAGGAATCAAAAAGCTCTCTGACCAAATCTGTACATAGCACAGTAGAGCCTTCTTGGAACAGAAGGTATTCATCTTTCTTATTACACCATATGTCCCAAACATAATGTTAATATTTCTCATATTAGGGCAGTGGGCAAAGCCATGCAGATTATTTCTGTACACCCCAACTGGCCAATGCACACTGAAACCATTTGTGTACAGTGCAAAAAAGCCCAATATTATAGAGCCATTTCTTCTGCATAGGAATAAATATGATACCTTACTGAATCACATAGAATGTTATAAGATGGCTGTATACTCCATTTTGTTTATGTTTTTAGAACTTAATATTTTTAATTATACATATACATATATATATATATATATATATATATATAATATATAGCGCTGAGCAAACTGTTGGCGCTATATAAATCCTGTATAATAATAATATTTCAAGTTGTTCACTGCAATAATTTAATCCTAAGATTCTTGTAGAAGTCTGTAGCTCTGCTTGCACAAAAAAAAGTAAACTTTCATACCAGGGTCATTGTTCTTAATATGTAAACACTTGACTTGTTCTGAAGCTTGAAAATCAATTTCTTTTAGCCAAGGAATAAGATCAAAGTAAGCCTCTGCGACCTTCTGAAGGATGTATATAAAAAACTCGGCTGCTTCCTCCCCCTTTTTCTCCACAAGATCAAGAATCTGACGAACCTGCAACAATGAGAGGGTATGGTATGTATCTTTACATGTTCCCAAATGTTAAAAGTCCCCAACCAGAGAAATGTGGCTCTTAATTTTCTTTGATACTGCTCATAGCCGCCTGTAAGGTTGCTGTGTTACCCTTTCTCTTTAGATAGTTTTGTGTGTTTACAATGTAGACATATCTGTGGTACATTACAGCACATTTGTAAACATGTTTATTGGTTGCACATATGATGCAAATCCAACCACGTGCTGCAATTTCAGTATATACACATTGTGAGAAACAGAAGTAAAGTACATTCTCATTGATTGTTCCTTTCATGTAACAATAAAGATTTTTTTATTACTGATATTATAAATTGTCTTTGCAAGATATTCATTTATATCCTGTACTATGTGTCCGCAAAGCCCTTAGACATCATAGAATACAGTCCAAAAGTCCTGCTTTTTGAGACCTTGAAGAATAAAAGTATTTTAAGAACAGCAGGTGATAAACATGTCCAATGGTATCTACATAGATATTGAATTGTATATGATTACCAGGAAAAAGAAAGAAGGGAGAGTATAGTATTACACCACCAGATAAAGTTTCTTTTATCCATCAGTCTCCCCTTCCATATAGCCCCTGCTATGTCCAACTTCAAATTTCCTTAGGGTGCATTCACACCTGCGAATGAATGCACCAGAAATCTGATTAGATGTGAGAACCCCAGTGGAGCATCCATACCCTAATAATTATTAGCTGTGGGAGGCAGCTCCATTGAAAGCAATGGAAGGCTGCCAACTCCTGCAGCCAATCGCTGCCACTTGCTCATGCAAACTGCCTGCGTCCAGGGCTGATAACCTGCATGTGATCGCTGAATGAGGGAGTACATATGTGTGGCCATGGGAGCTGGCAGCCTCCCATTGCTTTCAATGAGGCTGCCTCCTGCAGCCAATCGTTGGAACCCCCTCTGGTGTTCTCGCACCAGAGTGAGGGTGCATT